TAAAAAGGGAGTATACCTAAAGCCTCTATTTTCCAAGTTGTGTTCCACATTTTATGCCAAAAAAAAAAAATTGCATGGCTAAATAAAAATCGTCTTTTGTTTAGACTCATGTTTTCAAACATATTTAACTTGAAACCCCTTTCAAAGAACCCATGTTGGTAACCTCTGTCTTAAGCTTTTAGCAGCTAACATCTGAAAGATTGACAGCTGGTAATAAGGCCCTTGTCTAGAAAAAAGCTGGTCCCCAACCTCAGGGAGAAAAGAAAAATGATCTTAAAGAACATCAGAAACATTTCACCACATATTTTAATGAGGGTGTGGCGGTGGAAAGGTGGAGAGGATGTTGAATAAGATGCAGTTCTTGGCCTCAAAGAGTTTACAGTCTAGAGAAGAAAATAATCGCAGATAAATATTATGAAGATACAGAGAAGAATACCTAACCCAAACTTGGTACTCAAAGAGAGGCAGAGGCATAGCAAGGGTACCAAGGATGGTATCCTAAGACAGCAATATCTGAGTGTGACTGCAAAAAAGGAACTGGAATTGGCTAGAGGATGGAGAAGAGCATTCTAAGCAAAAAGGGCTATGAAAGTAAAGACACTAAGAGACGCAAATTAAACTACCCTGAAATACCATTTTTTATTTACCTGGTTGGCAAAGACTCAAAAATTTGATAAACTATTTATAGAAAAACAGGTACCCCCATACTCTGTTGGTGAAAGTAAAAATTTGTACAACTTCTAAAGGAGGCAATTGGCAATACCTATTAAAATTTCAAATGCATATACCTTTTGACTCAGCAATTACACTTTTAAGTATTTATTTTAGAGCTTGATTCACACACATATAAACACAAATATTATTCATTTCAGAGTGTATTTCATAGCAGAAGGTATTAAGGCACACAATGGAATAATGTACATACTATCAAAAAAATAGAATGAGAATACTCTTTATGGTAATCTCCACAAATAATGTTAGCTAAAAAAAAAAGATGCAAAATAGCTTACACAGTATATTGTAATTGAAAAAAAAAGGATGGGACAAAGAAAAAGAATATTTCACTGCATCGATTTGTATGTATTGATTACTTCTGGAAGGAAACACAAGAAACTGATAACATTAGTTACTTCCAGGGACAAAAAATGAATGACAGGTGGCAGGAATAAGAGAAAGACTTTTGATTGTACAACATTCTCTTTTACATTTTGAACCATTTTAATGAGCTAATCCATAAATAAATCAAATTAAACCACCACAACATCTAATGGAAATTAAAGCAATTTGAAATTCCCAGAATATCAAGTTCAAGACAAGAATGATCAGAAATGAAGCTCAAGAGGTGGACAGGAGTCCTAGTTCATGAAGGGACTTATTTGGCACATTAAGGATCATGAACTTTAGCCTATGACATTGTTTCTCAAAATGTGATCTGGCACCACTTGCAAACCTGGGGAGATGGGTAAAAACTACAGATCCCTGGAATTCAGCAAGAGTCAGAAATGTTCAGGGTATGGTTCAGAAAAGCAAAGTCTGGGTATTCTCCACAAACTGAATCAGAACCTTGGTAGCTAAGGTTCAGGCATGCGCATTTTAACAAGTTCCCTAGGTGACTAAAGGTTATGGGGAGCTTCTAAGGAGTTCCAAGCAAAGGAATGAAAAGGCCAGATGTTCACTGTAGATAGAACACTCTGGTGCCTGTGTCTGGAAGATATTCAAGGAGCAAGGTTCAGTTAGAAGGTTCTGGCAGTATTCCAGATTATGTTCTTATATTTGATAAATAATCATATTGCATACAATATACTTTTTGCATACCATGTGGCAAAACTATTATCTGCCCAGGAGCTATAACCTAAACCATACCATCTTTTTCAGGAAACAAAGTAAGGAAAACATACTCCAAGGGGCTACACCTCCCAATAAAGGCAAGCTAAGATGGCAATAAATAGGAAAAATTTAATCCAATAATAGAATAGACTGTTAAATGAAATTATTCTATCTTATCCTGAATTTTTAAAAAAAACTAAAAAATGGGAACCATTGAAAAGGGTTGCCTCTGAGGTTGTGAGACTTTGAATGGATGCGAGGAGGCCAGAAATTGCTGACTTCTTATTTGGTATATATTTTTAAAATTTCAAATAAAATCTTTTTTTTTTGACTAATAAGGCATGTTTCTGGTGTCAAAATCCTTTCAAATCAGTTTTATTTCATCTAAAATTCTAATTTGTGAGTGTCACAGACCCTGATTAATAAAAGTTCCACATTTGCTAAATGCTTTATCTCTTATGACACAAGTAAACTATATAATAGGTTTATTAGCCTTTGCAAGGTCAGAAGACAGTAGACGTAAAATGTTTGACTAGAAATCCTGTATTTACAAGACAAGTAGTTGGTCAATCAGTGGGGGAAAAGGTAAGATTTAAAAATAAAGCAATGTAACCAATGAGAGAGTAACTAAAAATCAAAACTTTAGCCCAGCTTGAAGAATGTAAACCTATTCCGTACATGCTTCATCAACTAAAACTATTTCCTCCAATTGTTTACATTTCTACAAAGTTAGAAAGCCATGAGGCTTCAGGGTATAAGATTATCTTGGCATTCCATCCTTCATATTCCATTTGCATTTTAACAAATAACCTAGAGATCTATTTTGCATCAAAAAAACCCACCACCACAACAAAAGAGAATGCTTTGATACAAAACTGAGTTACCATGACACTACAGACATAGCAGCCATGGTGTAGACTCACAGGAGCACTTGGCCACTTTCTTTTATGTCCAATTCACATGATTCATACACCATACTATTTTTTTCCCTAGAAATATAGTAAACAATATTAATCACCTTATCGATCCTATAATATAAATGATAACACAAGTTCAAATCAGTAAGAAACTAATCCAATAAAGTTGTAATGACAACAACAACAGAAACTATTCCACTGCCTGGCAATTACAAAACTGTATTCTACGGTTCAGGAGTTTTACTTCAAAGCTTTCTTATCCCAAACGGTATTACCTAGCAATAGAAAAATATTTACCTATTAGAGATTTCTCCACTCAGAGTGGGTACACTAGGGAGTTTGATTTTTAAAGACTTACTGATTTTCCCTACATTTTAAGTTTTTTTTATTAGTGGCACTCTAGTTCAGGGGTCCAAGAGTTAATCCTAATTGAGATGCCACACATTTTCTTGAGGCCTTGAAAAAGTTAGCCAGTTTCAAAATGCCAGCACTAGAAAGGACCCTGGAGGCTATCTAACACAACCGTAGCATTTCACATAATGAACTAGGTGAAAGCACTTTGAAAACTGACTATACTACACAAAAAGTATCATTTTCACCCATGAGGCCCAGGGAAGTTAAAAACACATAGGAAGTTAACCACAGGAAACCAGGGCCTAGAATTCCAAGCTCCCCACCCTCAATCCCACACTATGAACATGCCAACTGAGTGTACTATTTTAAATTGTTCTAGGATACCGATAAAATTGTATGAAGAACATATTTATGCACGTATGCCATTTGACAAATTCTAAAAGCTAGACCTTGCAAAATTATGAGTACAACCTAAAGGACACACCCCTTTCCCAAAACAGAAACAAGGTACTTTTTTCTGACATTACTATTCCCTGCCTCACCCACAATTTCACTAACATAAATTCAACTACCCTAACCTCCTGTTCAAACTGTTCATTTATTCTTTAAATGACAGTGGTTTCTATAAGCTGCTACCTTCAAACACTTAGGAAAAATAGAGAAATCTGCACCCAGACTTTCTCCCATCAGGTGAATGCCCCAGGGCCCCTCTTCAATTGACTCATCAAAGCAGCAAGGTGTTTAATGTTGACAATAGATTCACGATTTTACGCAAAGATGATTTACAATTTCATTTTGATGCCTGCACAAAATAACTTCGCTGAAGATTACATAGGCTATCAGATGTTTAGAACAGGCTGCCTACTCTTGCACAGAATTAAACTAGATTACAGTTTTATGCAATTAATTCCAAAGCCTTCTGGTCCACAGTACCAACAATTAGGGATTTCCAATAGAGATTTTTGTAGGCATATTTTTCATGTTAGCCTTGGAGACTCCTTTTCCTACAGTTGGTGGGTGGGGAAATGGGATCATAAATTTTAAAAAATAAAAAAAAGGAAGGGGTGAGGAAGAAGACCAAACTCAGGGTTTTTCTTCTTGGATTTATATACTTTGCAAAAACATTAATAAACATACCAAATATAGTCTATTGTGGCAGTATTGCTACATTAGAGACGTGGGCTTTTTATTTCATACATTAGCCGGTATACTTGCCCCTTGTCTGAAATTTCTACTTAGTAACATATATTTCAAGTCAAATTTTCCCCCTTTCTCCTTTTGTCTCAGTACCTAAGACACGTGTGCTTTTAATACAAACTCCTAGAACCTTGTCTGACGACCACGTTTCAGCATGAAAAAGGCTCTCCCTGAAGGGTTTTCCGGAGTGTCCCAGACCTTGTGGTCCCGCAGAGTAAAAGGGGGTGTGTCCTCCGTATTCACCCCATTTCCCGCAGCTCTCAGAGGCAACTCGTGACCACCTTTCTCTGGGCGTCCAGATCTCAGGCCACCGGCCCAATTTTTTGGGTTGTGTCACCACAAGGGGGTGGGGGTGGCAAGAGCACAACTGAATCCCCAAGCCCCTCTCACACTATGGGGCCACTCCACTAAGCAGCCCTTCTTCCTCCACTGATGGGCGCCTCTGCCTTGGAGGTCTCAGCACTAACACTGACCCCCTCCCTCTCACACCCATACAAACACACACGCATAGAAGCAAGGGGGGGCCCACGGGCAAACCCAGAATTAGGGGGCAGCGAGAGAGACAGGCAGGGGATCTGGGGTGCCCTGGGAAGAAGAGTGGTCCCTAGAGGTCTCGCCCGAGGGGGTGCAGCCGCCCCCAAAGCTCTAGCCCAGCCAGGGAGCGAACTGGACCGAGACACAACGGCGGGGGCAGCCGGGACCCACCAGCTGCTTCAGGTCCTCCTCCGAGAGCTCCGCGTAACGGTACCGCTGCTGCTCGAACTCGTACCGGGTGGTTTTGGCCACCACCACCACCCGGGAGGGGCGGAAGCCGCCGTCGGGGCGGCTGCCACAGCCCGCCAGCTCGCGCTGCTGCCCCTGCCCCAGGTGCCGCTGGCCGCCGCCGTCACCGCCGAGCCGGGGCCGCGCGGCAGGGCCTCCAGCACCCGGCCCCCGCAGCGCCGCCGCCCGGCCGCCCGCCACGCGACGACAGCTGCCCAGCAGGAAGCCTCGGTAGCAAGTCATCGTTTGCAGGGCCGCGGTTGCAGGCTCGGGCTCCCGCCTCCGCTCCCCACCGCCCGAGTGAGCGCCGCCCGGGCCTCTAACTCCGCGCCGGGCGGGTAGAGGTTAAGTGCGGAGACGTGCGCGGCCCGCGCTGCAAGAGGGACGGGCCCAGCCGTTGACGGGGGCGGGCAAAGCGTGGCGATTGGGAGGCGAGATACCACACGCGAGGGAAAGGTAGGCGGGGAAGAGATGGAGGCCTCAGCCTGGTGGGGTTTGTTTGTTTGTTTACCTATTTCACTCACGCCTGCGCAGTGGCCGCTTCACAAACCCTAGGCCGACCTCCCGCTCCACCCCTCTCCCTGTAGTTGCTCTTCGCCCTCCCAGGCTAACTGTGTCAGCCAATCGGAGCCCGCTGCAGTTTCGGAGCCCGAGGGGCTGCGGGGATTGGCTGCGACCGGGGAAAGGGCTGGAATCCTATTTGGCTTTCGAGCTGCCCTGAGGAATCCTGCTGGAAACGGTCTGAGGCCGCGCGGGGGCTGTGGGCGGGGTTTTGAGCGACTGGCGGGAAGGCAGGTGTCTGGCGCTTCTCGCTCGGCTCCGTTCTTTTTCGTTATTACCTCAAAAACTAGACCACATGCCCGTTGTTCGTTCATTTAACCAGTGCCTGTTGGATAGCTGGTGTTTCCAACGCTGGGCTAGGGGCTGAGGAGACTGACCCAAAACCGGCTGCATAATTTTGTGGGGCCGTGCAAAATGAAGATGCTAAGCCTCTCGTTCAGAAGTCATTAAGAACATCAAGATGGACCTCAGAGCGTTAAGCCTAGCACAGGGTCCTTCAAACGTGGGACCCTGGGCCTCCCCGGCTGACCACCGAAGAGCCATCAGCCCTGAGGGAAAAAGGCGCAGCCACTGAGGAGCTTGGAGGATAATGGGCAGAGGAGTCCAGTCACAGGGAGCATTTCTAGATGGGGAGATAAAATGTTGAAAAGCTAGATAGGACTAGAGCGAAGGGTTAAGAATGTTAGTAATTTGGACTTTATCCTATAGACAATAGTTCTCTGAAGGCTCTTTAACTGGAAAGGAGTGAGTTGAAGCAATGTTTGACGACTATTGATCTGGCTTTGGAAAGTTGAGTAAATTGGGAGGGAAAAGGAGGAAGGGAGACTGAGAGGCTCTTAGAATAATTACACGTGAAGTGATAAGGACCTGGACTAGGGTAGAAGTAATGGGAATAGGAGAAAAAACTATTATAAGGGGAGAATCAAATGGCAGTGCACATCCCGGTGTTTAATTCCTTCAGCTCGGAAGATCCTCTTGCTTTGGCTTTTGTAGTCCTGGCACCACCAATAAGCTTCTGGACTTTGGGCAGGTTACTTCATCTTTCTGAGCCTCAGATTTCTCATCTGTAAAATGATGGGTTGAACTAAAAGTGATTCCAAGGTTCTACGAAGCCCAAATTGACTCAGTGAATCTGTGACTCTTCGCAGCTAGCCACCAGCCCGGGGATTCATTCATCGGTTTATTCTATTTATTGAATGCCTACTGTGTGCCAGGTAGTACATTAAACTGGAAATATACACAATTGAGTCTGATACGCATTTAGTTTACTATTAAACGTTCTGTCACTGACCCCTTCTGACCGAGAACTTTGCCTCTCAGCAGCTGCTAGTAGTAACTTAGAGGGTAACAACCTTAAGTAACCTCAACTTTTTCTATAATTTGGACATTTTCGGACTCCTTTGTATTCTTGCTATGCTATTAATATCTTCCCCAAATGTCTCCCTGTTTATATTTGCTTCTAATGAAAATTTTCCACTGAGTATATTCTGGATCCAGAAGAAGTAAAAAAAATTCTCTTTTCCCTTGTTTTTATCCTTCCCTTCATGCTAAAGCTCATTTTTTTTCTTCTCTCTACCTTTTCTCTCTTCCTCTCTCACGTTAACTTTTTTTCCTCTTCATTTTCTGAGCCACTGCTTCAGTTAGAAGTAAAGGATATTAGGTACCATATATTTTCTATAGCCACTGGAAGAATAAATGGGCCTCTCGTATTAGCTAACTTATACTGTTATAGTTACTTAATAAGGAAAGAGCAAAACTGAACAATTAACCGACTAAATCATGACCTAAAAGTTAATTCAACAGTCATGTACTAAATTTTTAGGCATTAGCTGAGGTTTGACTTAATAGATACATATATAATTATATATTTATTATTATATTAAATGTATTATAATAAATTAGTATAACTTTTAAAAATATATTCATGTGTATACTTCCAAATGCATATTGTTCTTCAAAGTATCACTTTGTGAAGTTATTCCTATTCCAAATATGTTGCCATTGTTCAGAACATTTTCAGAAATCATTTTCTAATTGTGAATTTTTATCTCCTAAGGGGAATTGTTTAGGGGTCACAATCAAAATTCATTTTGAAACCACAGGGTGATCAAACTGGATTGAAAAATGAAATACAGCTATTTTCTTGTGTGAAAGAAAGTATCCTTTCATAAAGGACCTGAAACATATACTCTGAAACATCTCAAAATATAGCATCAAAAGTCTGCTGCACAATTGTTTAAATTACTAAATTCTACTCTAATGCCATTTAAGAAAAAGATTCATTTGGCTATATATGGTACATGTGTTTAAGAAAGGTCTTTATACAGCCATGCCTACTAGAATATTAATGACAATTTAATTACATAAACAAAGCAAAGAACAGCAAGTTAACATATTTGGTATTTTGAGACATAGGTAATATATTTTGTTCATTTTGTTCAACTATTGCATGCTGACCATAAGTCAAGTATATATACAAAATAAAATAAATACAAGTCCAAGAATAGATGCTCTTTTTAAAGGAATTTATATTGTGAATATATAAGCTTATAGTATTGGGAAATCCAAAGGTTAAATGAAAATATACATTTCCTAGAGGATAAACATGATTTAGTGAAAGGTTATCATATAATTATAGTGTTTTTCAAAGAAATGACTCTGAAAATTTAGTAAAATATTTGTTTTCTGGCCAATGTATGACTAAAAAAAAATAAACATTTTTGTTAGCTATTTGTCAAATCTAGCAAGATATGATTTTAAGTATTATATCCATCAATGTGATGAATAGTCCAAATTAGTTATCAAATTCTATTCTAAATTAACTTCTTCAAAAATGATAAATTTTGAACTTCTGAAGTCCATTTATTTCTTAAATTCTTTTTTCTCCACTCTAATCAAAATGTAAAATATAAAACATAAGAGAAAAGTTTTAATTGCAACAAGTTACATTTCTTAAGCTTTCTATTTCAAGGAATGAATAGATCTTCTCAATTAGTTAGGATGGTTTAGTATTTTCAGCAGGGTGACCAATCTTTTTTGTAGATGTTGTCATGTTTATAGTAGGTGGTGCTCATGAACAGGCAACTGACTGTCTGTAGGTCCACCTAGAAGGATCTGTGATATAAATTAAACATATTTTATTATACAATATTATATTTAAGCCAGATTTAATATTGAATATAATTGAACATGAATATACTCATGAGTATGCTCATTGGTAAGGAAATGAAAGATACAGAATCTACATTTGTATAAGTAACATTTGGAAATGTAGCTAATAATTTTAAACATGACCTCTTTTTAGATAATTAAGCCTTTTTTAATTTATGGGCAACAGAGTCCAAAAAATTAGACTTTTTACTGCTTCCATTTAATTTTAGAATCTGTTTGCAATACCTCTTGGAGAAGATACTAAGTGAAAAGGGGAACAAATGGCAAGGGAAAGAGTGTTCATGGGATTGACATTTGCATTGCATTATTGCCATTGTTTTACATTAAGATAGTTGCATATCACCCCTCTCCTAAAATGGAATATAATAGAATATAGATTTCATAATTATGTGTCATTGGTTGGTAAGAGAATTTGCCATTTAATCTTTCTTTCAAATTGACATTTTTAATGAATACCAACTAATTTTCTAATAGATCTCATTTTATTGTTTACAATATAAACATAATATAAAATATACTTTTATTCATTTTATATATTTCAAAGAATAATAAACCATTTTTAATAGATTTGTTTAAAGTAGCCAGAAAAATCTTATTCACTTAGTTCTCTGGCTTACTGAGTCAAGCAAGTTATGATACTGATCTTCATGTTTTATATATTTTTCCTTTTGATTACATTTTTAGTATTAAGCAAATGAAGATATTTCATCCAGTTATATACATGTTCTTTGATAGATTCTCAAATTATGTATAATTAAAGCAGCTTTAAGATTTCAAAATGATTAAAAGATGAAAAAAACGTTTGTTACTACACTATCTTTGTAACTGTATCATTCAGTCCTCTGTAATACAGAATTCAAGTGAAATAATTACTGAAAATACTTGGATGACTTTATTAGAATAGTCACATCTATATAACAAGTTGAGCTTACTATTTTTGACAATGATTTTCTCCAAAAAGAATGATGAATTAGTTTTAAATCCACACAAGACAAACACTGAATCCTAATGAAGATCACTTATAGAAAACAGTGATTTTCAAATCCATTCCTCAGATCCCAAAAGCCAGGGCTGTAACCACCACCCACTTTAAATGGATCAACTCCACTTTTTAAAAACCTATTTAATATATTAAGATTGTTCTTAAGATTTCTTTTTTAAACCTCTGACCTAAGAAAACAAAGGCTATTTACCTGATCTATTTTTAGTGACTTGGGTGAAATCATCCTCATCCTCATCACAGCTATCACAGTTTAATTGTTGGACTGTTTCTGACTGCCTTTCAGCTTGATTGACATCCTTTTGCTTATTGAAGCTTTGAAGTGCAACAAGACGATGATGTATTGCTGCATACAGATATCCTGTATCTTTGGCACTGGCCTGTATGAGGAAAATTAAGTTGTTAAGAATATAAATAACTGATTAATGTTAGCCACCTTTTACACATTTTTAATCTTGCACTATCAGTGAGGAAGGATTTATATGGCGTAAATCTAGAATGTAAATAAGTGTTAACAACCCTAAAAATTAAGAGAAAAAGAGCCAA